TTGGAGTTAGTCCAAAAAAAGACTCTTCAATCTAGTTTACATGTTAGGTGACATTTCTTAGCAAGATATACCTGCAATATTCAAGAGACTGGTTTTCTCTATATGATTTAAATCTGTTTCACTCAGTTTCAAAGTATGATATGTTGACATTAAGCTACTCGGGCATCGAATAACCTCTTATTAAGCTGAGATATATATAATTGATTCGTTGCCACCCAATAATCAGCTAATTCGTAATTATCTTTAGACCATTTAGTAAATTTATCAATCAAATAACGATGATTATTATTTCTTTATATTTACTTTATTCAACCTTAGAAACAATATCTACAATTATTTAAGCTTTATTGTAACCTGGTTACATTGTGAACAAGAATTTATTTCAGTCTTAATTATACGTATGGGAATCACAGAACAAGTTTTTTCTTAATTATTTTCATTATCATTTGTAGAACCATGTGTTCTGTTTATTGTTCTTCAGATAGACATCAAACCTTCACTCGCCCTGACCCCAAAACTCATAATACTATTATTATTATTATTATTATTATTATTATTATTATTATTAAAATCGATACTTCTGAACCATTCATTGTCTAATATATATATATATACGTAAAGATATATCTATTATAACGAAAAATAAGCGAATTGATCACATACATTTCATGTTGTTTAACTAAAGTTTATTCTTGTTACAAGGTTACGTAAACGATAGAATATCTATATAATAGTGTATATGATACCAACAATGATTTAAAACTACCCATATTATTAATGCATAGATATCTATCTATCTATCGTGCTTGAGAAGTAACTTCATAATCCATTTTAGATAGATAAATAATTAGATAGTTAGATTATACCAAAGTATTGAATTTGTTTTACTATGGTCATTGAACACATTCTTATTGAACACTTATATATACTAATGTGTGTGTGTATATATATGTGCGTGTTTATTTAAGTGTACATAATGAAGATGTTGATTATAAAAATGGATTAATTTTATTTTACGAATTTTTCTCTTGTTGATGACCACATGTATATTTATTTAACTAATAGAGAAAGAGAAAGAGAGAGAGAGAGGAGGAGAGAGAAAGAGAATCGTTAATAAGTAAACATTGACAAGTATCAGGATAATCATTATATAACTGTAATTCTTTTATAAGTCACTTGAATTATTACTTAAACTCACTGCTATCTATCTTGTTTTCTATAATCAGTCATGTGTGTAAAAGGTGATGAGTTAAAGATATCCGTCATATTCACCTGTTTATCTATCTATTAGACTGTCTGTTTGTCTATCTATCTTATACATTATAAAAAACAATCACTTCTCATCTACCTATATATATTTACCTGTATATATATGAGTAAATACATTTTTCATGTAGATAATGAAATATATTTAATTATTCTTGACAATTTAAGCCGATCAAGATGTATATTCATTTGTTGAAGAACATTGTTGAAATGAAGAGATAATTTCCGAAGATGGATAGTTAAAAATTTTGATAAGACATGAGGAAAGGGGAAGACAATCGAGGGACAGTGAGAGAGAGAGAGGGAATAGGTTGAATAAGTTTAACTTATGTAACATAATATGGGAGCTTCTATACTTTGTTTATATTATAAGTAATTGAATGAAATTTTTAAAGGTTTGTATTTTTATATCTGCTGATGTTAAAGAATCTTTTGTTATATGTAAATTTTAAACGATTTACCCGGATATTACCATTTAGTTATGAGTTCTTATCATAATTGGACAGTAGTTAGTAGTAGAATCAAAGATAAGCATTTTGTCCCATCTCGGACTCATCAGTTGGACATACTTGGTGCTCCCCAGATCATTCTAGGATTCCAATCCGATGACTTTCATACCAAACACTAACGCGTTATCCACTAAGAAAAAAGAATCTAGTTGTTTAAAATAATAAAATATATCATTTTTAGTTAGTTGTGTTTGTACATTTTGCGGTTTAGCTCAAAATAATGATTGATTAATTGTTTTAGTAAGTAGTTATCTGGATTGTTGAAATCAAGTGGTACATGACAGATTTTCTGCCTTATGGTAGAAATCATGGATTAAACTTAGTTAAACAGCCAACGAAAACTAGGAAACAGTAGAAAGAGGTTTCGGACCAGTGTAACACACACGTCGCGCACTCATAACTTAAGCAGTAATCGAACATAGGACATTCATATATCACAATTACCCCTGAGTGAATATAAAATGGTTGGTATTTTTAAATCCAGTCAATTTGTGATATTGCCTAGTCATACTCCTATCCCGGTAGTGGGTCATTGCTTCACACTCAGTATGATGAAATTCTACTGACTACAGGTTCTCATTAGAACTCGGAGAATTATTTTTCGATATTTGCTATTAGTGAACATATCATTATTATTACTGTGGTAATGTTATTGAAACTTGTTCGATAACTGGACAAAATCGATGGACATGTAATATTGAAGTTGCATTTACTATTGGACAAGTTGCAAGATCGTCATTGCAGATATAATAAGATATTCCAAAATAAATATCATACATTAACTTCTGTTACATCATACATTATTATTTACTGAATGTTATTTACTTATTAATTCTAGGCTGGTCAATTCGGTCTTTGATCACACTGTTTATCGTAGGTCTAATGATATTCGCCACCTGTCTAAATTCAAGTTGGGGAAGAAAAGTTTGAACATGTGAATAAAATCTAGAAACAAGTGCTTTAACCAATAAACTGTAGTATTACATCATAGACTTCAAATATAACTCCAATTACGTATTAGTATATACGTCCCAGTTTTTCAAATATACCTGAGAAATAAACTTTGATAAATATGAGACGCTGGTCAATTAATTCATACTGATTCACTCTATTGTTTTGCAATTATTTTCCGTTAAATATTGATTATCTTATTTCAATTATTACTAAAAACAAATTTCATTTATGACAGTTTAGTAAATGAACTGTAGAGATGTAAGAAGAAAAGTGATTTAACTTTGAGAAAAAAAGAAGGAGAAGAAAGAGAGGAAGATATAATCTCGGTAACATAGATACTACTACTATTACTACTTATACTGCCTGATGTAATAAAGTCAATAACAAATTAATGAAATACTATGATTTTGTTATAAGGAGAGGTTTGTGTGGAGATAGCTCATTTTGAGGATTATTCATATTAAGAATTGGTTTTAACTAGGCAACCGTGAAGTGAGGGAACATGAAATAGTTATTTTGTGTATTTTGTATGTAGTCTATTTGGTTGTGAGCAACAACAAGTCTGTGTCGATAGTTGAAGCCAAGATGTTGGAGCTTAGCAAATTACCTACTTACATCAGTGTTGATTCTCAGCACTGAAGATACTTGTTTCAGTTCTCGACATATTTAATCGTGGCTAATAACTAAAATTTTCTGATGTTCACCTCTAAGCTATTTACTAGTGAAGATGTGATATATTAAAGTTAAGTACTGGTAAGAAGTGGGATGTAGGATGCGCATTTCATCCTATATGAGATATATCAGGTGGATGCACTTGGTGCTTACCAGTGTTGATGATTACACTTAGATTCGAGCGCAGTATATATTGCTTCAAACGCTAGTAACTTATCCACTAAACCAAAGAGTTTAGATAGCTGGTTGCTTTTGGAATGGATATAAATTTTATTGGTAAGGGTTTAGACTTTCCAGTTGTTGATAATAAGAACTGTCACTGATTAGTCTGACACAATCTGTCCGGATGTACATATCCTACTAACTACTGATCAGTTGTCATTTTTAATATCGACAACGAGTGAATACAAATCCTTACAAAAATGTGAATGATGTTCGATTATGGGATTTATGAAGTTTATTTACAAAGCTGGAGTTAGTTTAGACTAACTTGAGTAACTCTCTACAGGTCACTGAATCGAATATTTTATAACTAACATAACGGAATGATCATAATTAAAAGACTACTGAAAGTCAGGAGGCACAGGACAACTGCCTTGTACTGATACTGGACTCTTTAGGAGTGTATATCCACAATTTTCTAACCAGGGATCGAACCCAGGACCTTCAATTCAGAGCGCTTGATTTCTATATCACTAGGTCATTATTCAACGGTGTGCATATTTAACCTAACTGGTAACTGTCTTACATTCTAAATGTTGAACTTTACTGGTCACAGTTTCTCATAAGAACTTCGAAAATTCGCTCTCGAGTGGTTAGACTAAAGGTCTTGGGTTCGATTTCCGATGGTAGGATAGTGAATACACATAATTATGGCCTACTATATCAGAACAAAAACAGTTATCTATTACTTCCTAGTCTTCAGTGAGTTTCTTTTAAGTAAGATTATTCAATGATGTTAACCATGAAATTGAAAAAATCTTCATGAACCCCTATCGAAAGTATTTTATATTTAATCGAACAAGTATAACTACACTAAGAGATAATTCTCGTTAGTTGTAATAAATGACGATAATATGTTTTTCATGTATTTAATGTGCAAATTGAAAAAAAAAGATCCAACCGACAAATTTTTATTGTTGTTGACTTCATGTTATCTCTTTGTCTCCATTCCTATGTTTCTATGGTTATTACAAATACGTTTACTGTTTAAGTTTCTTTGTTCAGTTAAGTAGTTGTATCTTAACAGTATTTAAGTGAATATGATATAATTACATACAACTTATATTCATTTACATTGCATCATGTTATATGGAACAATCGAAAATTTCTAACCATAAATGCTGTCAATTATATTGGATATTTTGTTTATATCTGACGAATATAATTTAATCATTGTAACTACTTATGATTTGATTAAATAAATGCATAAAAAGAACTAATGGTTATACATAATATTTTGTGGATTATCTTTTACACTAATTGATTTTTGTTGTAGGTACCAAATGGAACTAGAAAGAACTAACAATGATATTTTGTTCTAGTATAAGATAAATTAACAGTGCTCATCTAACACTTTAGTGATCGAATAGAAAATGTTCAAGTCTCTAGACCAATATCTACTTTATTATTATTATTATTATTATTATTATTATTATTATTATTATTATTATTATTATTATTATTATTATTATTATTATTATTATTATTATTATTATTATTATTATTATTATTATTATTATTATTATTATTATTATTATTATTATTATTATTATTATTATTATTATTATTATTATTATTATTAGTGGCTTTATTCAATATTATATTTTTTTGGTACAATATAGAATTTATAGCAACTCACATTCAATTGAGTTTGCTCTCATCTATTCGGTTAAGCCCTTTTATTAACTTATTAAACGGACAAAGTCACCTGCACTATAATAACTTATTGTATCCTTATTACTGTTGCGAATGTATGTACCTTTATTATTGTTATCCTTGTATGAATATGTATGCTCGGCAAGCCTTACTGCCTACGCATTTATTCACTCTACTAGCTTTACTATTAACCGCTTAATTGACTCGATGATTCATTAATTTCATTATGTATATATATGTCCATGTTATTCATATTCATGACTCGCTCGCTCGTTCATTCACTCGCTCGATCGCTCGCTCTTGCCCTTGCTCTCTCTCGCCCGCTCGCTTGCCTGTTTGCCTTTCGGCATAACCATTTCATGCTTGCTTAACGCATCTGTAATTTTGGATATCTGTGTGTGGTCCCTTAATAAACGTAATTAACGCTTCGTATTCGCCTTCTGATTAATATACCGTTGGAGCAGTATTTGGTGACGGTTACCGAGACGAACTGTATACGGAGTTTAAGGAATATATCGAACACCTACCACCACAAATTCTCAGCACAAAGTATTTCAACATGTTTCCCTTTCTTCTTTGGTGATCAGTTCCCTGCGATAAATATTGAGTAGTCGCCAGTTAGATGTTAGCAGTTCAGGACTCGACATTTGAATAATGTATATCCTTTTCGATGCATATTACCAGTAACCATGATGTCTCTGATTGAGCTCTTTTGTAACATGTACAGCGAAATATCGTAAACTTTTCACAAACGCACCAGAGTAGGTTATGAGACTAATAGGCATAATGATATGTTAAAAAAAACAAGAAAACAGATAACTTGTTGAAATATCCTAATAGAAGGAACAGGTGGTCCAGATATTCAAGCAAGCCGCTGCTTCTGGGATAACTTAATTAACACCTGATGATATCAATCTACCTTCAGTGAATTCATAAAATACAATCGAATGATAATCTAATGTTAATACTAACAACTGTTTCATTGTTGAGATAGTTATAAAAACATCTTTAGGATATCAATAACAAGTACAATCTACAAATTAAACTAATCTATACAAACAGAAAATAATGATTCTTTATATTTTATTTAAACAACAATATCACACACACACACATCCATCCATACATACATACATACGTACCTATATACAAAATGATATAGAATTAATCAAATCTTTTGGGTGTGTTATATAAATATATCCACTTGTTAATAGATCGTATCAAATCAACGAATTCACTTTTAATGATCTACAATAATAGTAAATACATAAACAATAAAATACACATATAAATTGTCAATTACATTTTGTATTCGTTTAAAATATTTTTGATAAAAATTAAAACAACAACAAGCAAATAGATAAAAAAATAAAAGAAGAAACAAAAAGAAAAAAAAGAAACTCATACTCATTTGTACGGGAAAAGAAATTTTATATAAACACAAATATAACAAAATTAATAATCATGAAATGAACAAGTTCCACCCAAGAAAAAAGAAAAAAAGAAGAGAAGAAAAGAAAGAAAAATTAAACAATTTGAATGTTTTGATCGTTTCACTATTGATTGTCAATGAAATGTACAGTTAAATAAATGAACAATAATTATATTTTTTTAAAAAAAACAGAGAATAATAACAATAATAATAATAATAAACAAATTAACATTTTGTTTAAATACACTAATTATATGAAAATGTAATTTGTAATTCTATGATATATACACTATATAAAGGGAGGTATCCACATTTTGTATGTGTGTGCGTGCGTGTGCGTGTGTGTGACTGTGTCTGAGTCTGTATGTTCAATTGAATTAGTGAGATGTAAACATTTCCAAATGAAATGGCGAATTAAGATAATAATAATAATGAGTATATGCGAAGGTATGGTGAGATTAGACAAGAAGAAGGGATGGACAATGAGCAATGAAGGCGTGACAATGAATAGCTGCTTACTATATGCTAATATATATGCAATAAAAAAGAAAAAAAAACTGGTTGATCAGTAACGGTTAACGAGTTCATAGTAATAATAATAATAATAGTAATAATAGTAATGGCAGTATACACGAGAATACTAAACTGTTATTTATTTATTTTCATCCTACTAAAAGAAAATATTAAACTTTGCATTTTGTGTAAACAAAATAGTTTCTTGTGTTTGTTATAAGAAAACATGTTTTACAACGTTATAAGCTAACATCTACCTATCTATCTCTCTATCTATCTATCTAACTAACTATCTCTCTATCTCCCTCTCTCTTTCTCTCTCTCTTTAGATTTAAAATAATACATGTTTCTTCAAGTTGAATTTATTTCATTTATTAAAGGACATAGTTTACTTTTAAAACAAATAATCATTTTCATCATAATAAGAATAAGATTTTTCTATAGAATGTTCAAATATTCAATAGATTTATTTATTTATTGTTAAATCCTGTCAAATCAACACCATTATTAATAATAAACAGACATTTGATTAAAACAAATGAATTATTTTCATGTTTGAGGTGTATATACAAACTCAAAACATCACATTAATACTTATTATTTTACAGGATTTTGAACAGAAACAACGATCATTATTAGAAAAGATGGATAGTGGCTAGCAGTGGAATCCAGTTTGACGCACGTTTCGTCCTATTCACGACTCGTCAGCTGGATGTACATGCATCTCAGAGTTGATGTTCACTCTGGGACTCGAACCCAGTACCGTCCGCTTCAAACGCCATCGCGTTATCGATTATTATTATTATTATTATTATTATTATTATTATTATTATTATATCAGTAATCATAATTGTTAATTCTGTTTTATATTCTCTATCCATATTCACTTCCTTTCGACTGTTTTGCACTGAGCAACAATGCCAAAATGTTTGGGATGCATTTCTTCCTCTCTAAATGCAAATTGTTGGTTCAGGACTGGCCTGCGTCAACACCTGAACTAAGGATAAGGAGTGAAGTAGTCGAACGTGTTGACAACTTCGCTTATTTTGGAAGTCTGATCAGCCTTAATGGGTTAGGGTCGGATTCGAAAAGCTCGTTTGGCTTTTGCCAAATTACGTCACCTATGCCGGAGGCGAGATATTCGTCTAGAAATTAAATGACCAGTATACTGCTCGGCAGTTCATTCTGTTCTACATTAAGGCTGCGAAACGTGGCTATTAAGAGTAGAAGATACTCGTAAGCTACTAGTATTTGACCACAGATGCCTTAGAAATATTGCTAGTATCTGCTGGTATCACTGGGTAAGTAATAGTGAAGTTAGACGCAGGGTATTAAGGAGTGATGATAAATGATGAGGTTGTAAATTTTCATCGACTGAGATGGTTGGGCCACGTGTTGCATATGCTTGAACTGAGATTACCACGACGCGCAATGCTAACTAGTGCTGGGAATGGTTGGAAGAAGTTAAAGGGCGTCCAAAACAAAATGTGGCATCGGTGCTTGAATTCACTAACTTCTAGTCTGAGCTATGTTGGTAGATGCAGACTACTTGGTTGGGGTCCGTGTGACTATCGTAACCGGTGGTTGGAGACTGTGTTTGACATGACTCAGAATCGATCACTCTCTGTCTTCCCTTAAACTATGAGAATAAAATTATTTCATATCTTTCTTTCTACCAACTAATTCTTTCTTTCTGTACTATATCCTTACATAAAATCATTCCTTTATTTATTACTCCATTGAGTTAACTGCTTCTATGAATCCGGTGTTCGTCTTGCTGTGCTAATGAGGTGTGGTAACTTGGACCGATGCATGTATGTGCCTAGTCCTACGTTGTAACTGACTGACTGACTTATTAATATTCAGTAAGTTGTTGCATTCTTAGCAATTTCTACGCTTATATTGTAATGCAAGTTTGTTATGTGATATCTTGAAATATTTACATATACTTATAACATTTATTATATTTATCATTATAATTAATTTATCTCAATCATAGTAATAGTTATTCACAGTTTGTGTATTTGTTTAATTCTTGTTTAAACGCAACACTTTCCTTATTGTTCGCTCTTGGTTCGATATTTGTTTGTCGGTAAACTGTTACCAAGTTTAGACATAGCTAACAGCTATCTTATGTTGTAATTATTCTTTATGTTACGGTTACAGGAAGCCCTTTTTTATTTCAGATAAAAAGACGTGATGAACGCCATAGACACCTCACAAATTAAGGTTTGTAACTAATTTTTGGTTATTATTCAATAATGAAGCTCTATTTTAGATAAATCATTGTTTTATGAGCTTCGATTTGACGCGTATCTCGATCGGGTGACTTAGACACTTCAATAAACTTAATAATAATAATTCATTTATTTAATTGTAAAGTAACTCACATTGGATTTAATGTTTAATAGCTGCAATCACATTCAAGTTATCACAGTATATCAACACACTAAGATGATATTGTTAAGATTTATGCCACTGCAGTAGAATTGGTAACAGAGCATATGAGTTGAAGTGAGAATATGAATTCACTTAAATAAAGATAAATAATTTTGAAACTGAAGAGTTTGGAGAGGATAGAAACTGATTTCATCGGAACAATTAGCACCGATTCTGAGCAATATTACCTAACGTCTCAAAATATTAATTATCATAACTCAGTAAACCCCAAACAGGTAGTGTTTAATCAATCTAAGCGTCTAATTAAACGATTGAGATACGAATGAAACCTAAGTTCATAAAACAGAGATTTGTCTAAAACGGTTCTTTATTGAGAAATAGACATAAGTTAGTTACAAATATCAAAGCATCTGTATGTCTGAAAGAACAAGGGCTTCCTGCAATAATAACATACAAAATAATTTTAACATACGATAATGCAAATGACAACTGATGGCTATGTCGAATCCTCATAACAGTTTGTGAACGAGCAAAAAGGGAACCAAAAATAAAAAAATTATGGAAACTGTTGTGCTTAAACACAAACTCAACAACTATACAAAATTCAGAATGACTGTTAAGGGGAATGAGTGAAAGTGATGATAGTGATAAATATAGTAAATGCTATAAGCATATGTAAATATTATAGAAAAATACGTGGTAAACTTGCGTTACAACATATGTGTAGAAATTGTTAGGAATGCAACTGTTTACTGAATACTAATAAGTAGTACAAACAATACACAGAAATGAGTTGATATGGAGAGAATAAGTATAGAGAACGCAAACTTAACAAGTCGTCTGTACATTACCGTGTATCATCCAGTTGAAGGTTAAGAACTATCGTACTACTATGTGCAAGGTTTTTATTCAATATATGTGGTGATGCAGATGTTACGTTATGAGGTGAATGCCAATAAAATGTCAAAATGTTTTTAATGAACATTCTGATATGCATCATTTATTAATTATTGAGTAATATAATCACTGTTATGTCTCTTTAACTCCTCTAGTGTTGATCGGATTCTGTCAATCGAATTTCAGTATAGGTAGTAATTTGAATTACTCGTTATAGTGTTCACTATATCGATCTATTGGTTTGTTAATGGTAGTCAACTATCAACACGTGTCAACTAATACGAAACTGAAGTCTATGGGTTCCAGTCTGCTGTCTCTAACTACTTGATATGAAAATGCTCTGCACCCAATGTCAAATCTCCCGGCCTGATGACAAATGATAAATTGGTTAGCAGGATTTTATCATTACAAAGGACCGGACAAACGCGGTCTTGAGTCAGTAATCAACCAACTTTAATATCTCAGTTCTACAGGAGGTCAGTCGTGACATGAATAACTTAGTGGTAATGTTTCAAGTTATGAAGCTGGATGAAAAGGTTTCGAATCCTACAGTCAAACATCATTCAAAATCTGATAAACACCAGCTAAGACGAAACATAGATTAGGTAGGATTCCTTTTTAACTACTTATAATCACCTAGAAAAGACTAACATCCCATTATATAATCACAAATGTTAGTAGTTTCACTCTGTCAACAAGATAAATGTGATTTTGTACAATGCTTCAATATTTAATAGACAT